CCCAGCTGGGAGACTTTTTTTTTTTTTTGGGTCTTATTAAATTGTTGAAAAGTATTTTTCTGCAATGTCGTTTGTCCTCCCCTCCCCATCCTGCTCTGTGCCCCACTGCCCCCCGGCAGGAGGGGATGAAGGGCTGCCAGGCTGCCTGGACCTCAACCCGGCCCTTCCCCCTGGTTGTCACACCCGTGGGGTCCCCAAGCACCCTGTCTCCGGGAGCCCTCCCAGGGACTCTCCCAGTTAGCCCAGTCTCTACAAGGTCTGGCAGCTGGCAGGGGCTGGCAGTGCCTCCAGCATCCCCAGGGCACGACCCAGACACAAGCCCTTGCAGCATCATCTCCTGTTAGCAAAGTGATTTACTGACCCCCCACCCATGCCGCCCAGCAATGCAACCCACATCCCAGCGCTGCCCGGCCCCGGGCAGGAGGATGGGGGGGGGGAGCTGGGAGCGGGATGGGAACTCACTGAAAGGCCCCAGAGGACGGGTTGTGTTTGCACCGTTCCCATCATACATGTTGAAACTCGCCTGTTTCTGCAGTATGGTGTCAGGTCTGGGCTCCTTGGCCAGATTCCTTCTGCCATGGGGAGGGAGAGGGAGCGGAGTCCGTGGGGAAAGGGAGGGACTCGGCTGAGACACCCAGCGGGGTCGTACACCTCCCCGTCCACCACATGAGATGAGGCAGACAGGTGAAATGCCGCTGCTCGGCTGGCTGCTTCTCCCAGCCTCTGTTGGCTCCAGCATGCCAACACCAGGCGTTTTCCTGGCAGCTTTTCCCCCAGCTGCAGACGCCGCTGGCATGGGGGGCTCCTGTAAAAATCCCCCTTACTGGGGGTCTGGACTCATCTGGAGGCGGCTGCTCGGACTGGGACGTTTTACCCCTCAACATCGCCTGGGCTTTGGGCTGTGCTGGAGCGAGGGAGCAGCCCCAAGGAGCTGGCAGAGCCCCCTCCTCACCTCCGACTCTCCAGACAGTTGCAGCCTTGGGGGGGCTGTGCAAGCCCCAGCTCCCATTGGGAACAGCTTGGGGACCCAAATACAGCCGGGCTTTGCCTTGGAGGTTTGGGGGCCCCCAGGCTTTTGTGGGGGATGGAGGAGTGCACGTAGATGTGGAGGGCTCCTCAGCCTTCACCAGCATGGCATCTCCCTTGGGTTATATTGGAGCCTTACCTTTCAGAGCCCCCCAGGGAGTGCTGGAGGGAGCAGGTGGCCCCTAACCGTGAGGGGTGCCACAGGGCCCCCCTTCCTCCTTGGTCCAGGATGCTGCATCTGCAAATTGCTCCCGGTTATACAGGGCTCGTCTCTCCGGGTGGCTCCGGAGGCATGCCTGTGCACGGGGCTGGGGGTCGGGATGGCCCTGCCCCACCTGGTCTCCAGGAAGGGGGAAACTCACCTCTGTACCCTCTGCCTGCATGGGGCTGGATCCACACAGAGGCAGCTGCTGAAGGCTTGACAGCTGGTTTAGGCAGAAAGCAGGGGGAAAGGGAACAGCAAGTCCTGTCTCTGCAAGCCCACAGTAGAAAAGCTGCTGGGAGCTGCTCACCCCAAATGCAGCACCTCCAGCCTGGCCATCCCTCGGCCCCAGGGAAGCCCCCAGCAGCTGCCCAGGGCTGTATCCCACCTCCAGGCCTGAAGGTGTTTCCCATATGTGTGGTACAATGAGTACTGGGGATGGTGCAGGCAGCACACGGCCATGCCCCCAGCACAGGAGAGATTTTCTCACCTTCCCCTGAGTTCCCTGGGACCAGCGGCTGAGCAGGCTCACAGGCACTGCTGGAAAGTCATCCCAGAAAACTGCTCCCCATGGGATGAGAATCCTGAGGCTATGGAGCCAGAAAGCCCACGAAGAAATAATGCAGGGGTTTGTGCTGGACCTTCTGAAGCTCTGGGAGTGCTGACTGCCAAGATGTGGCATCCCAGCTGAGCCCGACACCCAGCCTGTGCTAGGGCCATGGGTAGCACTGCCAAGCAGCTCTGGGCTTCCCTCCATCCTCCAAGCTGCCAGAGCCAAGGAACATTAATAGACATTCCCTGCTCCTACAACACTTTTCACCCCCAGAGTGAGAGTTTCTGGCACACCCCTAAATGACTCCACAAGTCTTTTTGGAAACCCCTGCTCAGCAAGCAGAGGAGGTGGACCAGTAGCCTTGGACAACTGTGATGATTTAGCCTGGGGTCCGTGTCTGAAGCCAACACTGATGCTGTATCACTAGTGGGTGAGGTTTGTCAGCTTTGGGGACAGCAGAGCATTACCAGGGTGTGTCTCAAACCATTAGCATTGAGAAGCCTAGAGGACACCACAGCACCAGTAAATCTGGGATATTTGAGCTCGAGGTCCTGTCTCTGTTGCAGAAAAAAATAACATCCATTGCATTGCCTCCTGCAGCGGGTGGGCAGGTCCTCACCAGTATCCTCTTGGTGGCCCCAGAGCAGGGACACAGGCAAGTCACTGGCAAAGCTTTGGTGGTCACATAGAGATAGCAGCTGGGCCAGGGAACAGCCAGGCTGCTGTGCTCCCCAGGGCTGAGCGACCAAAGAAAACCCTTTTCTTGGCTTTGGCAGTGTACGAGTGTGGGTGGAGAGTGGTGACGGGCACGGCGGAGGACCTGCTATGAAACTCCTGCATGTGGTAGAAATCCCAGCTTGGCTGATAATATTTCCCTTCTGCTCCAGCTTTCCTCAAGTCTCCAAATAAGAAAAAAATCCCCAGGGAGCACTCAGAGAAATTATTAAAAATAATTAAAATAAAACAAAATAAATAAATGCAGAGAGATTGAAAAAGTAAACCCCGACTGCACGAGCCCTGGTCTCCTGCGTTGCCTGTGCCGATGATGCTGGCAAGGCTGTCGCCAGCTGGGACACGGAGCTCCCAGCATTTCTGAAATGCCAAGCCCA